CCCCTGTGCCACCGCGGGGGGAGTCCTGGTGAGTAGGAGAAGATGGCGGAGGCATTGAGCGGGTCGCGATTGCGCGGCGTCGCCCACGGCGGCCCACTCCGCGGACTCCGAGGCCCAGTGAACGCCGGGTCACTCGCGCCGCCCTGTCCCCCGCCCCTGCGCTTCGCCATTTTTCCTGCGGGCCCAGGAAGCGGAATGGGTTCTGATGCCACCGCGGGGGGAGTCCTGGTGAGTAGGAGAAGATGGCGGAGGCATTGAGCGGGTCGCGATTGCGCGGCGTCGCCCACGGCGGCCCACTCCGCGGACTCCGAGGCCCAGTGAACGCCGGGTCACTCGCGCCGCCCTGTCCCCCGCCCCTGCGCTTCGCCATTTTTCCTGCGGGCCCAGGAAGCGGAATGGGTTCTGATTTCTCCTATGCCCCCCTCGCCCGCGCTCAGGCTTTTAGGGTAGGGGAGACTGGGGATTATTGGGGATCCCGGGCGGCGCCGCAGCCCATGTTGGGACACACGGCCATTTTCCCGCGGGACTTGGTGAGAATGGAACAGCCCAAGGGCCGGCTTAACCTGCATCTGTGTTCCTCGCCACCCTTAATCCTGCAAGGCTCGGCTCATCCGTCCTGCAGCACTAAGACACCGTGATGTGACTAGAAATGGCGGAGTGAAGAGTGTTCACAGGGCATCTCCTTTTTGCCCTGTGGGGTCCCTCACGAGTTGCCCATCTACCTCTCTTCGCCTGAAAAAGTATATTATGCTTCTCAGCGAAGAGCAATTAAAAAGGATATTAAGACGAGGAACGGAGAATGAAGAACAGGTGAAGGAAAGGGGACACGCAGCTGATTGGTGTTAACTAGTTGGCTTTGGGAAAATTTTCCTCGCACCTGCACTTACACTTTCCTCGATGATTTCTGTAGCCAATATATTTAGAGATGTGACTAAAAGTCTGAAAGGTAGTGTACATAATATTTTTAGAACTGTAACCAGAGCAGCTATTAAGTAGTATTTTAAATTTTTTAATTAAATTTATTGGGATGACCAGTAATTCTTTTATAGGTTTTGTCTTAAATTATGTCACATCATCATCTCTCCATTTTATATGACCTTTGTGCTGCTTGAAGTTAATGCTATAAAGTTTCTGCCCAGCCTATTTTCTTCATATGAGCAAGTGATCCTTAGAATCTGTAGAGCAATCCTGACATCATCTTTCCTTCCCATCTTTCCCATGAAATGGGTTTCTGTAGACATTGGATCCTGTAGCAGACATCGTCCATCCAACATTCATTTCCAC